TGTAAATTTATTCTTTGCCTCAGGTGGTACTTTGAGACTATGTAAATATTCCATTCCTCATCAGATTTTCCACTTTATTTTATCTTTGTTAGTATGAATTCATGATTCCCGTTTTAGTTAATGGGTCACAATTTGTTACTATCATCATTTATTCTGATGTTGAAATTGTCCAGATGTAGCCATTGGAAGCTCCTCCTAAGCTGGTTCCCATGCCCATTTTTTTTCTTTATTGTGGTAAAAACAAATAAAAAGTTACCATCTTAACCCCTTTTTCAGTGTACATTTCAATAGTGTAAGTCCTGTGACCTTCTGACTTGTCTTTGTCATTCTTTGAACACTTACTTTTTGTCATAGAAAAAAGGTATAGATTCATCTTACGTATTTCTGTCTGAGCCTGAAGTCACATATTTTTCCATGGGTCCTAGTTGTTTCTAGAGGAGAATGATACTTAGAAGCTAAGATCTGGATACTACAAGTGCTCATGGTTGTTCCCAGACCCCTTCAGGGGCAGAGTTAGGGAGTATATGTACCATAAACATTTACATCTATATTAATTTGTATATTTTTATATTTTGAAAATAATAAATTTACACCAGTATCCAGTTCTAGTCCAACACGACTGAATGTTTCCAGTTTTCTCCCTTTTCCTGTTTGGACCTCTTTTCTGAAAGTGAAGAACCTGGTTCCTGTTGTATTTAATATATATTCACTTACTTGTTTGGGCCTCTGTTCTTAGTTGTTTAGAACCCCGTCTTCCCCACCAGTGTGAATACCCTCCCCACCTGACTTGGGCTATGGCATCCCCTATTAGGCTGCTGCTTTTGCAGTTCTCCACAGGGATGTTCTCTTCAGCACATTCAGACTGTCATCCCCTCCTGTCCTCATATACATGCCTGTTTACCCCTCTAGGACTCCCAGCAGCGTGCTTCAGGTTTTCTTCCCATGTGAATGTCCTGACCCTGCTACGTTCTAACACACTTCCCATCCTTTGTGGGGATGCCCTCCTTACCCACTGGGGCTCTGACACCTTGCCCCAGGCTACTTCTTCCGCCCCAGGTACTTGTTTTCCATCTCATTTAGTCTGTGCTTAACCCTGCTCAACCCAGTCTGCAGATACCTACCTTGCTTGGCTTCACCTGATGGTGAAATTTTGAGCTGAATTGTTCAAGAAGGGGATGTATGAATAGGAATTAAAAACAAAACCAAAAAATCCAGGGATGCCTGAGTGGCTCAGTTGGAAGAACGTGTGACTCTTGATCTCAGGGGTTATGAGTTCAAGCTCCACACTGGGTGTAGAAATTAAATTACTTAAATAAATAAAACTTAAAAAAAAAAAATGAGGGCACTTGAAGTAATAAGCACTGGGTGTTAAATGCGATTGATGAATCAGTGAATGCTACCTCTGAAACTAATAATACAGTGTATGTTAAATAAAAATTTTTTCAAAAATCTTGAAACACAGTTAAAAGTTTTGGTATTATTTGGTTGATTCACTTACCTTGGAAAACGAGGTGTTTTATTGATTAGTGAAAAGTCTCCTCCTATTGGTGTCAAATCTAAGACGTATTTAAAAATAACAAAAAGGAGCGGCGCCTGGGTGGCTCAGTGGGTTAAAGCCTCTGCCTTGGGCTCAGGTCATGATCCCAGGGTCTTGGGATCGAGCCCCGCATCGGGCTCTCTGCTCAGCAGGGAGCCTCCTTCCTCCTCTGTCTCTCTCTGCCTGCTTCTCTGCCTACTTGTGATCTCTGTCAAATAAATAAATAAAATCTTTAAAAAAATAAATAAAAATAACAAAAAGGAAAGACAAAGGATTAATTTTTTAAAAAGTTAAGAGGAATGGGGCTGAGGTATAAAGAGATAGCTGTGGAGTATTGAGAAATGGACACAGAGTGATGAAGGAGAAACTAACTGCATAGTGTTATGAGGCATTCAGTGAAAGGATGGGCTACCTGTTTGCTTCATTTATGTCTGAAGGTATTACTGTTTTACAGTAGTTAATGTTTTTAATTTTAACTATAGTTCATCATGAAGAGGATGTATTTTATTGGTAATATTGAATAACAGAAGGTCATATATATACCAAGACAAAAGAATATGTAATCCTTTAAAAATAAGTCTTGAAGTCTTCAAGGACTAGTTTATATTCTGGAAAATGAACTCATCCAGAGCTCTTCAATCTCTTACCATTCCAGCTAAGATGATGTTATAAATAAATACATGAAAATAAAGTTGCCATCCCCTCCTGTGTTCCCTAATTGCATCTGGGTGATTTTTTTGAGTCCCCCAGACTAGAAATGTCAGCATGGTCTTTAAACAGTCCTTTCCCCCTTCCTGCCTATTTCTAGTCATTTCCTCTTCCATCAGTTCTGACAGCTCGGATACCCTGCCACACACTCCTCCTCCCATTCTGCCATTACCTGGCTCAGGCCTTCATTACTTTTTATGTGGGTTTTTGTATCAGCCTCATTCCAATTCAGTAAACTTTCTACAGGTGCCTTCTCTGCATCTTTGCCTTCGTTTAGACTGCAGCTCCTGTGTTGGAAAGGTAGTTAAACTAAATGCTGCTAGACGCCAGGTCCAGAAGTGATAGGGAAAGAACTGCCATGAATTCATTGCTTGACTCTCTGTGCATGTCCTAGGGATTGTTGTTGTGCTGAATTGGGGGTAAGAGAGAGCATTGGTGCCAAATCTTCCAGTCTTCTGAGAGAAGCTGGAAATGCATATTTTTATATGAAATCTTAGAATTTCTTCACTTCTGTTCTAGGTACTTCCCCAAAGAAAAGAGTGTCAACATTGCATTTTAATATGTGAAACACTGAGAAGTCCTGCAGGAAACAAACTTGTTTAAGATTCTGGACTCCTTAGTTTGGCCTAAGGGGCTCTTTACCACCTGATTCCTGCCTGCCATTCACTGATGTTAGAAAGAATGTGCTATGGGGCACCTGGGTGGCTCAGTGGGTTAAAGCCTCTGCCTTCGGCTCAGGTCATGATCCCAGGGTCCTGGGAATGAGCCCCACATCGGGCTCTCTGCTCAGCGGGGAGCCTGCTTCCTCCTCTCTCTCTGCCTGCCTCTCTGCCTACTTCTGATCTCTGTCAAATAAATAAATAAAAATCTTAAAAAAAAAAAGAAAGAAAGAATGTGCTAGGGTTGCCTGGGTGGCTCAGTCTGCTAAGCAGCTGCCTTCAGCTCAGGTCATGATGCCAGGGTCCTGGGATTGGGTCCATATCAGGCTCCTTGCTCAGCAGGGAGCCTGCTTCTCCCTCCCTAAGATTTTAAGAAGAAAATCTTAAAAGGAAGACTATGCTGGATCTTCTCATTTCTGTGTTTAATTGGATTCTCTTAACTGTAATGCCTCCATGTTGTTGACCTCACCCCTCATTCTGTTCATCTTTTGCTGGCTTTCCCATCTGCATTTTCATGACAGTGTGTTGTACCTCTGTCATAAAGTAATTATCCAGTTTATATTGTTCATGTATTGGATCTTTTTTCATTAAACTAAGACCTTTTTAAAAAGATTTTTTAAAAAATATTTACTTATTTGATAGAGACACAGTGAAAGAGGAAACCCAAGCAGGCCTCCCACTGAGCAGGGAGCCCAGTATGGGGCTCGATCCTAGGACCCTGGGATCATGACCTGAGCTGAAGGCAGATGCTTAACGACTGAGCCACCCAGGCACCCCAAACTAGGACCTTCTTGATGATAAAGACCTATGTTCATACTATACCATGCACTTCATAAAATGCCTAATGGTTGTAGAGTAGACGCTTAATGACAGAATGAGTGGTTGAGCCACTGAATGAAGGCAGGTTGGAACTTGACCTGGTGTGGTGGAAAAACATTAGTATTCTCACTGGTGTTCATATCCATTTCATATATATTTTCTGGCTCAAGTTTCTAGGAGCATGTTTTGTACTTTATTCTTTTGTTCATATGATACTTACGGCCCTCGATTGCTTGAGGAAATAAAGTTCATGCTCTGCACTATGATATTCAAGATATCCCATGGTCTAGCTTCAGTTCTCCATCTTGGTTTATCTCCCACTATTCCTTAGTGTGTATTCTTCCAGCCAAATGTGACCACATTTCATGATCAGACTCTTTCTGGCTTTGCTCAGCTGATACTTCAGATATTCCTGTCTCAACCTATTAAAATCCCAGTACCCTTCAAGACTTAGCTCAGGTTTTTTTTCTCAACTCTTAAAATGGAAGAAATGGTGTCCTATATGATCCTGGCACATTGGGGCTCTCTTATTTAACTTTAGTTAAAATGTATCTCTTATATTTACAGATGTAATTTTTATATCTTCTGGCTGATGACAGAGATCTTTTTAAAAAAAAAATTTTTTTTTTTAAAGATTTTACTTATTTATTTGACAGAGAGATCACAAGTAGGCAGAGGCAGGCAGAGAGAGAGAAAGGGAAGCAGGCTCTTTCCTGAGCAGAGAGCCCCATGCAGGGCTGGATCCCAGGACCCTGAGATCATTACCTGAGCCGAAGGCAGAGGCCTAACCCACTGAGCCACCCAGGTGCCCCATGAGGACAGAGATCTTAAACTCCGTACTTTGCTTATAGTAGATATGTAATATATGGTTTTAAATTAGACTATTACATAGAGTGTAGAAATAAAGATAGAAATTGTAATGAGATCAGTGCTTGGTTAAAATATTAGGCAGGTTGTCAGGGCGCCTGGGTGTCTCAGTGGGTTAAAGCTTGTGATCTCTGTCAAATAAATAAATAAAATCTTAAAAAAAATATTAGGCAGGTTGTAATAGTGTAAAGTGATACAAACTCATAATAACTACAATAGGATAAATGTGATTTTGTTTTTACTGTATGATTATAAGTAGGTTAGTTGAGGAGAGCCAAGGGTAAGTATTAGTTGATCTATGTAAGTGTCTTAGTCTGTGTAAATATGATGTAGTGTTATTTCTTTTAGTTTTTAGTGTACACTTGAAGAAAACATGAAATCTAAATAAAAGTTTTTCCTTTCTTTTATAGGAGTCAAGGAAGGACTGAGGTGAGATTATTTCTATGAAAATTTTATTTAAAACATGAGATTATTTTACTATGTATTAGTAATGGTAAAGAGAAGGTGGTGTTTGCATTCTGGAAAACTCCACATCAAACTAGTGGCTGATGGCGAGGAACACATAACAGTGTAAATGCCACTTTTGTGTGAATGAATGGACTCCTTTCTGGTTGTTCATTCTTAGCATTTTTCTGCTTTGACCTAAACTATCCCGTCTCGGTACTGTGAGGCTTACTGTTGCTTCAGTAATGCTTCAACGTTATTTCAGCGTGGCAGAGGCATTTTTGTCTGGATTTTTCAGGGCTTTAGATTTTGACCCATTAAGTCTAGGATGTAATTGTGGCACCTATCACATAGTAGAGAAATATTTAACAAATGGTTCATAATCTTTCCTGTGTGGTTGGAAGATTAGTACTTCATGTTTATAAATCTTTTGATGTAAAATGTGATGTTCCTTTGGGGAGATCTGGTATATAGCAAAAATCATTTTGAAAGAACATCTAGCATGTGGTTTTTATTCTAATCCTCAATATTGCATTATCTTTGTAAATATTTAGTTGTATTTCTTAAAATATTAAAAAATGAAATAGTACCATGTACTCCTACACTAGTCATTAAAACCTAAAAACTGCTTTTGGGAGTGTTTAAGCTTTCTTAGTAAATAGCTCACTTTTTCCCCCCTTAAATATAGTTGATTTTTTTTTTTTTTAAGATTTTATTTATTTATTTGACAGAGATCACAAGTAGGCAGAGAAGCAAGCAGAGAGAGAGGTGGAAGCAGGCTCCCTGCTGAGCAGAGAGCCCGATGCGGGGCTCGATCCTAGGACCCTGGGATCATGACCTGAGCCGAAGGCAGAGGCTTTAACCCACTGAGCCACCCAGGCGCCCCTACAATTGATTTCTTAATACTCTTACAATATTCACTCATTCAGCAAATACTGTTTCCCTTCTATGGTGCCAGGCATTTGCTATATATTTATTTATATTTATTATATATTTAAATATATATTTAAGTATATGTATTCATAAGGATATAAATGTAACAAGACATGATCCTTTGAATTCACAGACCTTAAGGGAAAAAAAATTATTTCTGTTTTGGAAATAGAATTTCTTCAGCCGTAAACCACAGAAAACATTTGAAAGCTGTCACCTATCTTTATAATAGTAGATTAGTTCCATTATTCTGACAAATGGGAATATATTCTCTTTCTCTGCTTAAGATTTATTTATTTTATTTGGGGTGGAGAGGAGCAGAGAGAGTCTTAAGCAGATTTTACAGTGAGTATGGAGTCTGATGTGGGCCTTGCTCTCACAACCCTGAGAGCACAACCTAAGCCAAAACCAAGAGTAGCCAAAACCAAGAGTTGGATGCTTAACTGACTCCACCACCAGGCGCCCCTAGATTCTCTTTTTATGATGAAATATTAAAGGTTTTTTGGATAAAGTTTTAATTAGAGAAATGGGTTTTTATTTTTTTACATTTTCCCAAAATTTTATTATGAAAAAGTCAAATAACAAGCAATGCTGCAAGAATTTCATGGTTAAGAGTAATTAATATTTGGGATGCCTGGATGGCTCAGTGGGTTAAGCCGCTGCCTTCGGCTCAGGTCATGATCCTGAGGTCCTCGGATCGAGTCCCGCGTCGGGCTCCTTGCTCAGCGGAGAGCCTGCCTCTCACTCCGCCTCTCTCTCCACCTCTGCCTGCCTCTCTGCCTGCATGTGTGCTTTCTCTCTCTCTTTCTGACAAATAAATAAAATCTTTAAAAAAAAAAAAGAGTAATTAATATTTTATTATCCTTAATATATCACATATTTACTCATCAATTTTAGAGAAATGTTTTAATAAAATGTCTAGAAACAAAGATTCACATTTTTAAAAAAGTATTTGTTTTATAATCAGAATTTCTGTGAATAATACTTTGAATACTTAAGCCTGTTGTAATAAGCTCTTGTTAATGTGTCTGTTAGGTGTCATTTACTTTGAATGAGGATCTTGCAAATATTCACGACATTGGTGGAAAACCAGCATCAGTCAGCACTCCTAGAGAACATCCATTTGTCTTACAAAGTGTTGGAGGACAGACATTAACAGTCTTTACTGAGAGCTCATCAGGTAAGTGGGAATAGAATTATTTAATGTGATTCCTGTATGTGTTGTATAGATTTTCTGTCTCAACATTTACTTTGAGGTCATTACCAAGGCTGCTCTACCTGTTGTTCTATCTCTATTCATATCATGCTATTTATTTTATTTCTCCAAGTACTTTCCTGTGATTAATGAAATTTTGGCTGTTACTCGAAGGGTTTAGTTTCCATTTGGGGTATGAAGAAATAGAACAAAGCAGATGGAAGATTGTGGTGCATCAACTGTCTTCTAGCATGTTGAAGAAACAGTATTCTGAGTTTTGCCAAGATAAGGTCATACTTGCCTGTTTTGGTAAATCAATATTCAGCAACTATAAGTTGTGCTTTAAAAAAATCTCTTAATATTAGGGAATATTTTAGTCAGAATTTTTGCTTTTGTGGGTTTCAATATTAAGAGGGACTTTTTAGTGCAGAGAGATGAACTGTTTGTAATTGGTTTTGACTTCCAAGAAGCTGTGTTAAGTATAGGTTGTAAATTTTATGTGCTCTCAGATATTTTACCAGTTCAATAATCAGGAGCAGGTGTTTCAGTTTGTGAATTAAATATAGAGGGAGCTTTTTTGCAGTGTACATCTCTGTTTATTTTCATTGTTATTTGATTTTTTAACCTTACCTGAATTTAGACTATTATTATTAACACAGCAGAGCAACTCACTTTAGTGGAACTAACTTCTCATATATGATTTAAAAAATTTATTGATTGGCTAAAGAAAATGATTTGTGGTTTCGTTGTATCTTCTTTAAATATTACAAAGAAAGCTGTAAGAAATTATAGGTGTTAAGAATGTTATTGTTTTAAAAAAGAATATGTTCAGATAAATCTTTTGTGGTGTCTTAGATTACCAGTAGCTGTATAAACTGATCAAAAAAACAGTCTTTTTTTCCCCCCTCCTTGGATATAGAGTGTAACAAAATGGTAAATTATAGGGGTGCCTGGGTGGCTCAGTTGTTGAGCATCATACTCCTGATTTCGGCTGATGTCGTGATCTCAGATTCCTGAGACTGGAGCCTCAGGTTGGTGGGGGTGGGGCTTTTCTCCCCCTGTCCCTCCCCTTGCTTGCTCTTGCTCTCTTTCTCTCTGTAAAATAAATAAATCTTTAAAAAAATACCCAAATGGTAAATTATAACTTTTATATCATGTGGTTTAAGATAAAAATTTTGTTTTATTGCATTATTCTGATGCTACAAATTTGTAATGTACTATTATGGGAGGAAGAAAATGTTAAACACATGCATTTTTTCTCTTGGAGAGGATTCAACTACTCAAGAAATATTTATTGTATGCCACATGATGCAGGGCATAGCATAGGTGTATCTAAGGACTCCGAAATTTGTTTTGTGATTGGTAAGATTTAGCAAGACCTATTGAACCTGTGAGGTTTTCTCTATCTTTGTGGTCGTCTTTGGAGTAGAAGAGGCATATGGCACCAAAACAGGAAACAGGAGGCAGAACCTTGAACAAAAGTTGAACTACATTTGCAGAGAAAGGTACCTTATTTCAGCTTTTTTACATTTTACTAAGTTGCTCATTTTTCGAATGCATGATATATTATGATACAAAAGATAGTGATTTGCAAAGGTAAGGTTTGTTATTCTCAAAATTCATCTTCCATTTTAATCTTTTAAATCCTTTAGTTAGTATTGTGCTCTTTTTGAACATTTTGTGTTCACATTTCTGGTTACAGTGTACTCCAAAGTGAATATGGTATTATAAGGATTATCTTGGCAGGGATATGGAAGAGGATCAAGATTGTCATCCTTCTTCTGGAGTTTGGACAATATGTTCTTGCTTTGTCCAACTGTGGTGATACAAATGCAGATCTAAGTTACTGTTAGATGCTTCGCACCCTAAGGAGTTTTTTCTTTCTTAATTTCTGTCATTTCTGTTTCACATTATTGTTCCTTGGCTCTCCTTGTACCTTTCTGTGCTTTAATTTCCTTATTTGTGAAATGGAATAAAAATTATTTATATTTAGGTCTAAATAAGAATTTTTTAAAGCACTTAGAATAGCACTCTACATTATAAATGCTCAGTAACTATTAGCTATTACTGTTATTAATTTTAGATCTTATTTTTTAAAGATCTATATATGTATATGTATACATATATATATTTTAAAGTAAGCTCCAGGCCAAGTGTGGGGCTTGAACTCATGACCCCAAGATCAAGTATCACATACTCTACTGACTAAGCCCACCAGGTACTCCTGTATTAGATCTTATTTTTTAAACACTTCAGGTTTCAAGTTTATTTTAGGGCATGTGCATGCATTTTAGCTTGTTTGTGTGTATATCATCTGATTAACTTCAGCCAATAGAGATTTTTATGTTTGGTGTTTTTTGATTGCTTTGATGACTGAGAAAAAGCTCTGTAGAGTTGTCATTGTTAACAGTGTATTTCCTTGAGGGGCACTGTGTCATTTGCCATTTCTAATCTTTAAGGTCTCAGTTCTACAGCTGGGTCCCTTGAATCTCTAGGAAGTCATGAATAGACAGTAGAGGCTTGGTAATTGCATGACATATTTCACCAAATGTTAGATGTAGAGTTGCCTGGGTAGCTCAGTTGGTTGAGCATTCCACTGTTGGTCTCAGCTCAGGTCTTGATCTCATGTTCGTGAATTTGAGCCTCACACTGGGCTCCACACTGGGCATGGAGCCTACTTAAAATTCAAAGATATATATATAAATCTTTTGAATTTTGTATATATATATATACACACACACACACATATATATATGCATATTTTTCTGTGGAACAGGACTGTAGCTTTCGTTGGAGACTCCGAGGGGTCCGTGACCCAAAAAAGCTTCAGAGTCCACACTCTAGTATTAGCTTGGTTGATCATGAACTGGCCAAAGTGTGAATAACTGAACCATTTTACAGTGAGTAAAGCCATTTATTTTACAATGAAATATGCATAAAGCTGGCATTATCTTAAATATTTTTATGTTTTCCCTCAAGCATAGAGCTGTGCCAGCTTATAAAAAATTGCTTTTCTTGGCTCTTCACTTTTAATAGTCTGTAGGTCTATAAAACATAGAATTTGATAAGAAGAGTTAAAACCTCACTTGTTCAATGTGTTAGGAGTTTAATTTTAATAACTTTATTCCTTCTATAATACACATTTTGCTGGTTTTTGAGAGGCCTCCTTGAACCAATTTTTTTCTAATGATTCAGTTCTACATATTAGAGCATCTTTGTGGGGATGGAGTTTGAGGAAACTGATGATATCTTTTACATTATCTCCTTAATACAATCTGCATTTCATGAGTGTTTTATGAACACAGTTTATTTCTAGTTGAGTATTCCTATCTGAGGGAACATGTTTTATTTTTAAGGACTGTTTTGGGTTGGCCCCTTTTTTGGTCCACATTTCTCTATGAAATTCTAAATCTATTTCCCTGTTAAATATTTTTATTAGCTAATATCCTTATCTTTCTGCCTTTGTCTAAGGAGAAATTCTTCATGTGTTTGGTCTTTATTTTTCTCCCCTTGGGTCTTTGGTTTAGTATTTTTAGCTACTATTGGTAATTAAATAACTTCGATTTCTTCGTAATTTACACCCCATCTTTGTCCAAACTTAGGTTTTCTTTATAATTGCAAATTCTAGACTAAAATTGTTCATTCATCTATTTAACAGATTTTTTTTAATGCTGGGCCCTGTGTTAGAATAAGGCTAGACTGGCATACCTGGGTGACTCCATGAGTTGGGCATCTGCCTTCTACTCCGGTCATGGTCCCAGGTCCTGGGATGGAGCTTGTCAGGCTCCCGGCTGAGTGGGGAGTCTGCTTCTCCCTCTGCCTCTCCCTCTGCTTTTGTTGCCTCGCATTCTCTCAAGTAAATAAATAAAAATATTTAATAAAAAAAATCAGACTTCTATTCGGCTGGGCAGCTGGTATACTCACTATAGAAAGTGCTCTAATGGAGTTGTGTATAAAGAAGAAAAAAGAGTAAATGAAAGAACTGGGAAAGACTTCAAATGTGGAGATAATATTTGAGCTGGACCTTGAAGTAAGCATGCCTTGATAGGAGGCAAGAAGGTAAGATAGAATGCATTTTTCTTGCCTCCAAATAGCCTGTTCTTCACTTTGCTTTCTCCTACCTGTCATACTTCGTCGTAATCTATCTAAAAATCTATTAAATAGTCCTGGTTACATCAAAGCAAAATAGCTCAGTTGTGGATTTGATAGTCTAGTTTAGAGATGAAAAAGTTTGACCTGGTGCAGTGGAAGTGGAAAAGAGAATACTGTTCTAGAGACAGGAGAGGTAATTTTGACAGCTTTTGGTGATGAATTAACTGGGAGAATTGGATGAGTGGGAAGTCCAGAATGGTTTCCAGGCTTTTTCAGCTTGAGCATCTGGATAAGTGGGGAGACCATTACTGAGTTAGGAAATATTGGAGGAGATGGGCAGGATTAAAACTGATGGACCATGGTGGTGGTTTTGCTCTAAATTTTCATTATCTTTGACCCCTCTGCAGCAGTTCATTAATTCAGCAAACTGATATTTGTACCTACTGTCTGCAGGACCTCTTTTATTTAGACTTGGGATACTTTAGTGAGCAAAATCCCAGCCTTCCTAGTGCTTACATTTTAGTAAAAGGAAACAGCAACAAATAATAAATGTAAAGAGTAAATCTTTTTGCAGTCTAGAAGGTGGTGAGTTATCTGGGGAAAAAAGCAGAAAGTGGAATCAGGCAGGAGTCCTGAGTTTAAGGTGGGACTTTCAAGTTTAATATTTTAATTTATTTTTAAGTCGGCTCTGTACTTAACCAACGTTGGGCTTGACAGTAAGGTTTGTATTAGTCATTTTGCTCCTGAATTAAACCTTACGGGCAGGTTACTATGTCTCATGCTTATCGCTGTTGTGTGTGGGCTAGGATTGGCCAATAGTGGATGGGTGTATTAAAGCATAGGTGTTAAAATAGTTTATTTTCCCCAAAGAATTACTACTACTCTAAAGGTAC